TTGACAGATTCAGCAGCCTCGCCTCCTGGGTTCAAGAGATCCTCCCGCCTCAGCCTCCCAAGTGGCTGGGATTACAAGCACGTGCCACCATGCCCAGCTAATTACTGTATTTTTAGTAGAGACAGGAGTTTCACCGTGTTGGCCAGGCTGGTCTTGAACTCCTGAGCTCAAGTGATCCACCCGCCTTGGCCTCCCACGGTGCTGGGATTACAGACGTAAGCCACCATGTTAACCTGTTTCTAGGGTGCCACAGACAAAACTCAACCGAACTAAAGCTGGGCATGAAACCCAGGCCTCCTGCTGGCAAGCTGTGTGTCCTTGGGCAAGTATTTCAGCCTCTCTGAGCACTACTTTCCTTAACCAGGGAGGGAGCACGTGCAGCTCCTTCCGAGGTTCCCCTGCCTGAACACTCAGCAGCCCCTTGTGGTCCCTGTCCCAGCAGCCCGGGGTGGGGTGCGGTCTTACTGTCCCCTTCCGTGTTCTGCACCACGGTCAGGCTGAGGCTAGCGGTATCCAGCTCGGTGGCATCGGCCTTGAAGCTGAAGGTCTCATTGTACACAGGATTGATGGAGCCCAGCACAGCTGAAGTCTTCTTGCACTTGACAAACTTGTTGTGGTTCATCAGAGACACTTTGACAAACACACCTGGGGAACAGTGAGCACTAGTGGGCTGGCAGAGGTGGGTGGGAGCCGACCCCTGCCTGTGGGAGGTCCGGCAAGGAGGGCACGTGCCCAAGCTAGGTGCCAGGGCCCCACCTCTCACACAGTGCTGCGGCCCCGCGGGCGTGACCAGAGGAAGCTGGCTGAGTGCACTGCCCTGCAGCCTAGGCGGGGCTCCACTCCCTTCCTTTTCCTTCCTCTTTGCATCAAGAAAGTACCCACGGGTCCGGCAGGCCCTGGTTTACCAGAGCCTGGCACCACATGCCTGTCCCTCCCTGTTGGGGGGCTGCTCACGGGGTCCCCAGGCTCCCTGGGGCCCCTTAAACACCTTGTACAGAGAGTTAAGATTTGGTGGGTGAGGGTCAGAGTCACAGTGGAAGGTCTGGATCCTGCCTGGCTTACGGTGACCCCAGACGTGAACACAAACAGGTGACTGATCGCCACCACCTCACTGGGGTGCGTGGGATGTGTGGGGTGAGCCCAAATGGGGTGGGACGTGTGGGGTGAGCCAAGGCCTCCCCTCCTGCAGCTCCTGTGTTCTGGGGGGCCAAGCATCAGTGCCCATGGAGTCGGGGGCCCTTCCCCTGGGGGGAGGGAGGTGCGGGCCTCACCCTGGAGGAACTGGACCCACGTAGCTGATGAGAAGGTGGAGGTGGAGGCAGACAGGACAGTTCAAAGAGCCAAGACGCTGCCTCGGGAAACAGCAGGGGCAGGGCCTGGTATTGTGGTTGGGTTAGAACCCTTAGTGGGGGAGGCCGAGGAGATGCAGCTTTGGGTTCAACATAGGAAGAGGCTTCCTGTACCAGAACTGTCTACTGAGGGAGAGCATGTCTTGTGAGGTAGTGAGCACTCCGTGATAGGGTGTATGCAAGCAGAAACTGGATGGTCGGGGGGAGGTTGGACTGTAGCCCCAGGCTGTAAGCTCAGTGGGCGGGACCTTCCCCAGGAGGAAAGGGAGGAACTCACTGACAATGCCTCTGTCCTCCTGGAGCCGGAGGCCCTTGGCACGCAGCACAACCACCGTCAGGCGGCTCAGGTAGTCGTTGTAGCTGAGGCAGAACTGGAGGTCGCCAAACTCCGAGGGGGGCTGGGGAGGCCAAGGTGGAAGCACCCCACGCTGTTACTCCGGCAGGTGCTGAAGGGGTCAGAGAACCCCCAGAGAGCTTCCCGCTTCCTCCCAGCCGTCCATGTGACACATTCACATGGTCCCCTTTGAATTCCACTGCCATTTTAAGGATGGGGCAACTGTGGTCTGGAGAGTTTAAGGGGCTTGTGCAGTCCTGTGGACCAGAGCTAAGGAGTCACACCCAGGTCTGAGCCAGCTGGGGCCTTCCCGGGGGTGGTGGGCGGGGGGAAACATTTCCCTGGGCTGGACCATTTGTGGTGTCACCTCTCACAGCTGTCCGACCTAGATGGGAATCCAAATGTGGATATTTCAGGTTGCTCCAGGGAGTCTGATGGCCAGTGTGACAACAGGACCTCAAGCAGCTCCTCCCTGCCCAGGGGCAGGTCTGTTCCCCTCT